TTAACTCTTTCTGAGTAAACACGTACTTCAAGCTCTTATGGTCAGTGTATATGTGACATGTCTCTCCGTAGAGATAATGTCTCCAAATCTTCAGTGCGAATACCACTGCTCCCAACTCTATATCATGGGTGGGGTAATTTACCTCATGCTTCTTCAACTGTCGTGAAGCATAGGCAATTACCCTCCCCTCCTGCATTAACACACATCCAAGCCCTTGGATGCTCGCGTCACTATAGACATCATACCTCATACCCTGTTTGGGTAATGCAAGTACCGGTGCCTCGGTCAATTTCTTCTTCAGTTCAGTGAATCCTTTCTCACATTTGTCATCCCATACAAACTTAGCTCCTTTTCGAGTGAGCTTCGTCAACGGTGATGCCAAAATAGAGAACTTCTCCACGAACTTTCTATAGTATCCTGCCAATCCAAGGAAACTACGAATTTCCTTGACGTTCTTTGGCCTCTCCCATTCGGTGATGGCTTCTATCTTCTTGTTATCAACAGCAATTCCCGATCCCAAAACCACATGCCCGAGAAAACCAATCTCCTTAAGCCAAAATTCACATTTAGAAAATTTGGCATAAAGTTGCTTCTCCCGTAGTGTCTCAAGAACGAGTATCAAGTGCTCCTCATGCTCTTCCTCACTCTTTGAGTAGATCAAGATGTCATCAATGAAAACAATCACGAATCGGTCCAAGTATTTGTGAAATACTCGGTTCATCAAGTCCATGAATGCCGCCGGGGCGTTTGTTAACCCAAACGACATAACAAGGAACTCAAAATGCCCATACCTCGTGCGGAAAGCACTCTTCGGTATGTCGTCCTCCTTAATCTTCAATTGATGGTACCCCGACCTCAAGTCAATCTTTGAAAACACGGTTGCTCCTCGTAGTTGATCAAACAAGTCATCAATCCTAGGCAAAGGATACCTATTCTTGATTGTGACCTTGTTCAGTTGACGATAGTCAATGCACATTCGAAGTGTTCCATCCTTCTTTTTCACAAAAAGGACCGGTGCTCCCCACGGGGAGTGACTTGGTCTAATAAAACCGTTATCCAAAAGCTCTTGCAATTGGGTTTTCAACTCGTTAAGTTCAGCGGGTGCCATACGGTATGGCGGTATGGAGATTGGTTTGGTGTCGGGCTCGACCTCGATCACGAACTCAATCTCCCTATCGGGTGGAAGTCCCGGTAAGTCTTTTGGAAAGACATCCGGATACTTGCATACTACCCTCACATCATCAATGCTCGCCTCTTCCTTGGTTTTGTCTATCACATAAGCTAGATAAGCGTGACATCCCTTTCTCATCATACTCCTAGCCCTTACGGCGGATATGATACAACTATTGGATTTGGCCCTATCCCCCTCGAAACGTAAGGTTACCCCTTCGTCGCTTTCGAGTTCAAGTACTTTCGTGTAGCAATCGACCCTAGCATGATGCTTCTCAAGCCAATCCATCCCCAGGATTGCATCAAATTCGATCATACTCAGCGGCACGAAATCACACGACAAGTTTTGGCCCTCCACTTCCACCTCACCCGATGGATATTGGCTATCTCTCTCGATGTCTTCCCCTAGGGGTGTGGATACCAATAGGGCTTGAGCCATCGGTACCAGGGGTACGTTGAATCCCCCGGCGAATGCCTCACTCACAAATGATCGTTGCGCCCCGGTATCGATGAGGATTCTCGCACATCTCCCATTAATCTTTAGTGTTCCTACATTTATAAGCCATGTAAGACACCTCTCTAACATACCGACCAATCCTACGAAGAACATAATGCGAAATTATGTCCTTAGAGTGGGCAAAAACCCCCCAATTATAGTTGACGTTCGCAGTTGAGATATAAATTGACACTGTCTCACCGTTTTGATCATATCTCTTCACATACTTAACCAAATCGTTCGATTCAAATTCCATAATTTAGACAATGAAAATATCTACAACTTTCATGAAGACAACTTTTTCATTTGACGAACACCTCGAGGTGTACCCGGTCGGGTAACATACTATACCCGGTCGGGTATAAGTTCCAGTGGGTGTTGGGCAGAAATTTTTGACAAACCCGATCGGGTATACCACCATACCCGGTCGGGTATGTGTTCCAGTGGGCGTCGGGCAGAAATTTTTGACAAACCCGGTCGGGTATACCACCATACTCGGTCGGGTATGTGTTCCAGTAGACTTACGAGTGCAAAAACTTGGCCTACCCGGTCGGGTTCATCACCAAACCCGATCGGGTATGTGATCCAGAAGGTTTACGAGGGCAAAAACTTGTCCCACCCGGTCGGGTTTATTGCCCTACCCGGTCGGGTAGTAGCATGGTTTTGCTCTCCTTTCCCATTTCGATCTTACATCTGCTCCCACCTGGATTCTAGGATTTATATCTTCAATTTATGGATGAGGAATGAGTAAAACACGGGGAGTTAAGCGGTCGTACCTGCAACCGAATCAGGGTTAGCTCGGGCATCCGCCTCCGTCATTGCGTAGACCCTTGCTTGGGTCCTCCCTTGGTTAACGGACGGCGCATTGCTCGTGCTTGCTCCCCCTTGGCCCGTACTAGCATGAGGTGCTCCGGTTCGGTTCCTACTTGCCGTAGTAGGGCCGCTTGATCCCGCCCCTCAGTTCCCACCCAATTGAGGGCAGTTGGGCTTTATGTGCCCCGTATCTCCGCATTGGTAGCACCGTGGGGGATCGCGACATTTGCCCTCATGGTTTCTCTTGCAATTCCTGCACTTAGGCTTCGTCGAGGCTTGTGACCCCGAGTTTTGCCCACCCATGTTGTGTCACGCCCCGGACCTACCGGACACGTCAACAACCCGCCGTACAGTACGAATAGTCAACCGCAGTCCAACTCATCCATACTATACCAGGCGTCTTGAATATCATTCACAATAGTACATCCATAAACAAACATAATGTAAAATAATCATTTAAATCAGCGGAAACGTTTAATACAAGTGTTTATGCCACACTTCGGCAACATGGGCGTACAAGCCCCAAGTAATTAATCAAAATAATATCCATGAGCATTAATTTAATGTTTTTAAAAATAGAACGGAGGAAGCACGAACCACGTCTTCTCTCCCTGAGCTCCCCGAAGCAACGGGCGATGGTAGCAAGCTTTACTCCCTACCTGAAACTGTGAGGTGGCCTCCCCCGTGAAGGGGAGGTCAGTACTTGGAAGCATTTGACAAGTACAATGACAACTATACTAAGTATAATCAATGTTTCAACTTCCAAGACCCTCAAAATAGAGTGATATCATAATATAATGATAGTTCTTCTTTAACCCTTATTATCTTCATAATAAGTTAATTAATTAATTTGTCGGCACGCGGCCCCTTTTCATATTTCATTTCAATCATCGTTTACACGACACCGCCCGTAGGTCTTATCATCCTTACGAGACTTGTCACCGCTCTCCGAGGCCTCACCGGGCTCTCGGGCCGGAGTCCAACATCTCGCCCCTGAACTCATACCCATCGTCCCGTAGGAAGGTAAGGTCCATTCGGGGTCCTATCTTATGTGTTACCGCTGTCGGGAGCCTCGTAAGGTCTCCGGTTCGGATTCCACCCTAACCCGTGATCACGATGTAAGTCCATGCTATCCAACCCCGCTCTCTAGAGTCGGGAAGGGCCATGGTCCTTACTAATTACCAATACTCTATCGGCTAATCCTTAAAGACTACCGAATACACCCGTAGGCCAATCCTATTCCTAGGATCAATTTATTATTCACTTTATCTTGGGTATCCCTTAAGGCCTACCCCTAGCATCACTTATCCACCTTAGTATCTCTTAAGACTACTTAAGGCTCAACAATTTACAATCCAAACCTTGGATCAATTCTAACATATTACATTCCAAAACCCCGACTAGTATCATAATACTAGTCGGATAAATTCCAACAAAACTCATTTTCAATTCATAGTCCTAAAGACAATTTCCAAACTAATTTTCCATTGAAAATATAGTTCATATCAATATACAAAATATAACCTTTAATCACTCATATATCCTTATATGAAGTTATAGTTATATTTCAACACAATATTTATAATTAATCCCTTCATCAAGCCAATATGCTCATATTACATAATCATACACAATTTATCCTTAAACTTGTATATTATGCTCCTTTATTCATTGACAACAATATTTTCATTTAGGCATTATTAATCATTAATAATCCATGAAAATCACATTTATTTACTTTAGGTAATCCTACGAAATTAACCCAAAGATTATAAGCAATATAGTCAGCCATCCTCACCTTGTGATGTGCTACAATAGTTGCCTTTGTTAAGCCCCTCGATCAATCCCCGTTCTAGGCCGATTAAAGGCAAATTCCTGGACAGTAGCCCCAAAGCCGGGCGGCTTTCACCCAAAGCCGGGCGGCTTTTGTAGTCTGCAACTACGAGCAGCTCCTTTGGAGTGGCGGTTTCCGGCGGTTTCAACTCCTATCGATTCCACGACCCTTCTAAGTTAAATACCACCACTTTATAACAATATTATACACTTTTAAACGTGTATAACTCGTGGTTTAATCCACCATATGATTTCTTAAAAATCATATCAAAATAACTAGTAAAAGATGGTAGAGTTCTTACCTCCAACACACCTCCTTCTTCTTGGATTTCCTTCCTCCAACAATGGAGTTTGTGAGAGCCTTTCTCCTGAGCTTCTACCCCTTTGTTTGGCCGAGAGAGAGAGAGAGCAAGGAGGATAGGGAAGATGCCTTCTCAATCAACACAAAATGATTGTGTGAGAGACATAGGCATGGGTTTTGTCTCAAAGGAGACTTCCCATTCCCATCATCCACACAAGCCACCTTGTGTGGTCCCCCTCCCCTATTTTTGTGTCTAATTAGTGTGTAGGATACCCCAAGTGGGTGTAGGAAGTCCCTCCCAATTATTCCCGTTATTTTCGGTAGGTTTCGGCCAAAATATCACTCGGGTTGTCCAAATATTTTTATCAACTTTTGTTGGCACTTTATTGGGCTTCTATAATTTATTATGATGACCCAACTAAATATTTGGTAGCCCATTCTCATATAATGGACCCGAAGAATAATTTAATTAATCTCACATTAATTAAATGTATCAATCAATCACACGAAATTTATTCGCTAGGAAGTTCAAGTACATTTTAAGTTTCAAATTCAAGTACATCCGGGTGCGGTGTCACATGTTGGGATTCCCCCTTGATGGTGGTGCGGGTTCCCTGAAGGATCCTCCTCCCCCGTGATTCCCCTTTTTGTTAGAACCTTGGGGACCATGGCTTTCCCACTTCCTCTTCTTCGCCTCTTCGGCGTTCCTTCGCTTTCTTTCCTCCCACTCTTTTTCTCCCTTCAAGCCTTGTTCAACCACTTGACTAAACGTCATGTTAGGCAATTGAGTTGCCCTCTCGCGTATGTCAAGGTCCAAGGCATCCCAGAAATGGTTCACCATCCGGTTTTCATCACAAATGTACTCCGGTATGAACTCAGCAAGCTTTCTGAACTTGTGTTCAAGTTCCTTCACCGTACATACCCCTCCTTGTGTCAAGTTTGTATACTCCCTCCTCTTCGTGTTTACCTCGAAGTCGGAGTAGTATTGGTTGAAGAACTCCTGCCGAAAGTTCTCCCAAGTGACTGTCTCGCCGTACTTCCCTTTGGCTCCGTCCCACCATGTGGACGCCATGCCTTCAATCAATCTTGTTGCCACCCTCAGCTTCATGTTGGGTGGCAGCTACATGTCAAGGGCCGCTTCGTTGAATCTTTTGATCCATTCGGCCGCAACGGAGATGTCTCCCGTTCCATCAAACGGTTTACATCCCAAATCTCTTGCTTCTTTGACAAATTTGGAGATCCTTATGGTTGGACCTCCAACATTTTGTCCTCCGTGGGGTTCAACATGGACCCTAGAAGCACCTTGGCTTCCTCCTCTCGAAGCCATGCCCGAAGGTTGCCCCGCTCGGCGCCTTCGGCGTTGTCTCCTCTCTTCGCGCTCCCTGTGATATTGTTGGAGCAGCGCCTCAATTCTCCCAAGAGTGCCATCGTCTTCACTCTCTCCACTCACATCATCATCCTCCCCATCATATGGGGTCTCCACCGGCTCGGTTTCCGGCCTATAGGTTGAGTCCTCATAGGACCAATAAGTCTCGCTTTCGGTGTCCACGTGGCCATCGCTCACGGTGTTTTGTTCGCCTCCACGGCCCCTTCCCCTCGACACCCTAGTTGACCCCCGGCTGCCGCGTTCGGACCCACCCGGTACACAGCCCGTCGGGTTCCTCCTAGTGATTCTTCCAATTGGCTCCATTTCTGAAAGAAGTTTAGAATGAGCCATTAGACTCGTATCAAATGTCAAGTGACAGATAGGCACTTAAAGACATCCTTTGGCTCAAATCACCGTCATACCAATTGTTAAGGGTACCATCTTAACAATTAGAGACTTTGCAACTCAAGTACCAAAAGTTCTATAAGTACAAAACTTTTTATGCTCATGGTTTTCAAATTCGTTTTCAAAAAGAGGTTTTGAAGCTTCATTATGAAGTTTACGGACTAAGGCTCTGATACCAATTAAATTGTCACGCCCCGAACCTACCGGACACGTCAACAATCCGCCGTACAGTACGAATAGTCAACCACAGTCCAACACATCCATACTATACAAGGCGTCTGGAATATCATACACACATAGTACATCCATAAACAAACATAATGTAAAATATTCATTCATAGCAGCGGAAACATTCAATACGAGTATTCATGCCACACCTTGGCGATCATGGGCATACAAGCCCCCAAATAAATATTTAAAAATATTATCCATGAGCATTAATTTAAAATGTTTGTAAAATGGAATCGGAGAGAAGCACGAACCACGCCTCCTCTTCTTGGATTCTCCCGACGGCAACGGTGATGGTAGCAACCTTCAAGTTCTACCTGAAACTGTGAGGTGGCCTCCCCCGTGAAGGGGAGGTCAGTACTTGGAAGCATTTGACAAGTACAATGACAACTATACTAAGTATAATCAAAGTTTCAATTTCCAAGACCTTCAATCTAGGGTGTTATTATTTCATAATTAACTCACGTTTCTTCATGCTAGAGCTCGGCTCATAGTCATGCTAAATTGTGCTAGAGCTCGGCTCATAGTCACACTACGTTTTTGCTAGAGCTCGGCTCATAGTCATACTACATTTTGCTAGAGCTCGGCTCATAGTCATACTACATTTGCTAGAGCTCGGCTCATAGTCATACTACATTTGCTAGAGCTCGGCTCATAGTCATACTACATTTGCTAGAGCTCGGCTCATAGTCAAACTACCACGTGCTAGAGCTCGGCTCGTAGTCACGTCATCTAATCCTAAACAAATCTTCTTAGTCTAGGTTCCATCCCTTTGAGTAGCCCTTAAGGCTTACTCCTAATGTAACTTGGGTTCATAAAGTTCCCTTAAAAATATCCTTTAAGGTTACTTAACTCCAATATCTTGGATTATCTCCAAAGACTATTGAACTATCCTTTCCGACTAGTAATTCCATACTAGTCGTTTAATCTTAATATATCCAATGCAAATTCGTAATAGTTCGTATATTTCAATTTAATTCCACTTTCAAGTATAATTGGCTTTAATATCAAAATATCACTTTTATCCTTCCATGACTTCTTTACATGAGGTAAAGTATATTTATCACAATGAACATTCAAGGTTAATACATCTATCATGCCCTTTTATTCATAACACATAATCATACACAATTTATTCATAAATTTGTATATTATGCATTTTTGCTTATAAACAATGATAATCTCATTTAGGCATTTTTATTGTAAACAAATCATGCCAAACACATATAATTCATTTAGGTAATCTTATGAAATTAACCCAATAATTATAAGCAATATAGTCGGTCATCCTCACCTTAAGCGAGTTTAAGCGCGTTCTACGCTTCCCGATTGAACTTTGACTAACTTTGACCAACTCCGGCAAACTTTGACCAACTCCGGCGAAGCTCAAAGGTACTCTAAATCAAGTTCCTAACAAGGTTTTAACATCATAAAGCCTTAATCAATACACATAACCTCTAAAAGGTTATTTTCCGGTGAACTTGTCGGTTTGGGTTCTAAATCCATTTTTTGACATAGAACCACCTTCCAACCCCTTGTTCCACATCTATCAACATGTAGAACAATCCTAGGGTTCTTCATAATTCCTCAAATAATAATATATTCAAGAAAATAGGAGAAGAAGGTAAACGAAGTCATTACCTAGCCTTTCCTCAAGTTTTGTACACTTTTGGAACTTAAACTTTTTCCTAGAGCTTCCTTCTTGTTAGAGCTTTCTTCAACAATGGAGAGGGAAGGTGGAGGGTTTCCTTGCTCTTGCTGGATGGGTGTTTGGCCGAAATGATCAAGGGACAAGGGGGGTGGGTATTACTTTTGTCTCAAATGTATGAGTGGTGTGGGAGAGGCCCACCTTAAACTTGTTTGATTCTTTTCCAATCAACTCCCACTCCCTCCATACTCCTCCAGCCGACCAACTCACTTAATTAAGTGTCCAAATTCGTGGGTTGGCCCCCACCCATGTGGGAGGTCAACCCTTTTTATCCAGAAGTGTACACTTTGTCCCGAAAGTTGTATTTTTCGGACTGTTTTAATTATATTTTATTTTATCGGGTCAAATAAAATATATTATGTGTTCTCAATCATTATGACCCTTATAATGAATATACATTTCCCAATTTTAATTTATAAGTCCTCGAAATTCAATTTCGGGCTTTTATCGGTTAAATTGCCAATACCGGCATTTGGGCCTCTTTTGACCAATCGGTCAACTCTGGACCCTTCCCATGGCTCAAATGAGTTATCCCCTACCATATAAATATTATCTAGACCAAGATGAATAATTTATGTGGCCCCGGGAATATCGGGCGGCTCCCGCTCCCGGTGCGGGCCCCACGTGCGAATTTACTATTCGTGCAAAAGAATTATTAAAAATTCATAACATCATAAATTCGTTAACCATTCCATAAGGTTAAAATACAATATTCACTTAAAAGTAAATACACTTGGGGATGGTGTTACAGCCCTAGACTCCAAAATTAAGGTAACTCCAAAATTTCTCGGGGCGCGCATGAGTGAGGACAAAGTGCGCTGAAAAGGCTATTGATGGTTTGTGAGGACAGTACTAAAAGTCTGGATGGTGTACAGGAGTAACTACCTCAGGCCCTACGAGGCGGGGTGTTACAATGTCGGAATTTTCGTGTGATTTTTTCCCTTTTGCCAGTAATGTGTCTCTTTGATCATTCAGGCAATCCAACGACGATGAGTCTCAAATTTGTATTAGAGTTTTGACTCTACACCACTAGGGTCCAATAAGCTGGAGAATGTGTTAGGTATTGACCCGGCAATTTCCCATAAGTCCAATTCACTATGGTATACCTGGTCCATGTTTTATTTCCATCTCCCGTTTCGCACTGCCATCTCTTTTGCGCGATTCGAATACTTCCTCCCTTCCTTGTGCGATTCTGGAGAATCTTCTTCGCATGGTAATTGTTACCATCTTTGCGCTTGAGCTTGACCTATTTAAACCTCCTTCTCCTCTGCCGATTAAGAATGACGGCCAAAACCCTACCTCACTCTATTTTTGCCTCTTACTCCTCTGTGGGGTGTTCAGACAAGTTGGCCGGAAAAGCTTAAAGGATGATGTTGCCCACTCCTCCCCTTGTGAATTGTGATTCTAGTGGTGTGTTGATACCTTTGTAGGTATAATCTCCGAGACTTGAGCTGGAACCGGCATTACAAAAACAATAATATGCACATATATCAAACATCACCCTACTAAATTATATTTAAGTGAAGCTCATTGATGGGAAGATTTAAGTGCAATTGAAACCCTTCTTAGACTATGTTTGCTATTTCTTAACTTTTAAAAAAGTGATTTTGTAAAGTGATTTTTGGAAAAGTGATTAATGATAAAAGTTGGGAGTGTTTGAGAATACAAGTGATTAAAATGAAAAAGTTAAAGTCGGAATGTTTGGTAAGAAAGTGATTGTGAAATTATATTTTTTGAATGTACAAAAATATCCTTCCTTTCATATATAAGCTCACCTTCCTCTCTCTCGATCAAATACTCTTGATAACCTAACGCACGGTTCTCCTCCTCCAGAGCTCCTTCAATTCATTCAGATTTTTTTATTCAGGTAAGAATATAATATCTCCAGAGCTCCTTCTATTATATCTACAACTCTATTTTTGTACTTGAACAAGAAAAACGAAACCTATGTACTGCTAAACGAAACCTAATTTGTTTGCAATCCCCCAGTTTGTTCATTGCAACAATGGGAATATCATAGTGTTTTTGACTGGCACAATTTGTTCTGCACTCAAAATTGTGTTTGGTGTCTTACTGCTTTCCTTTTCCACCACTGGTATATGAAAAGAAATCAAATACGTTAACTGCTTCTTAGACACTAAAACCGATGAAACAATTCATTATTCTCCTTAGTTTTTTTTAGGCATAAACGTTAACTGCTTGACAAATTCACATTATGCATTTATCCAAAAAAGTTTGTAAAGAGCTTCCAAATAGTCCCTCAACCCCAGATACGAAGGGAAATTTGGGGAGTCGATCTTGGGGCTGAACGCATCTACAGAGTAAAGAGCGTTGATCCGGTCTCTTCATTCCAACAAATTGTATTTGTACTTTCTTAAGTTTAAAAAATCTCAATTTTTTTTGGCTTTCTCTTTATGTACAAATCTCAATTTGTACATAAATTATGCTTGTTCGTTAGGTATCAAAATGGAAAAGATGGGTGTTCTCAAATTCGATGAAATGTTTGAGATGTACTCGTGGACCACTAGCGAGGAGAAGTTTTTACTTGATCAAATGATTGGTTTTGAAGAAGAACAAAAGCTGTTTGATGGTAGCACTTTTAGGACGGATGTTTTGACAGAGATTGTTTCTATGCTTATAAAATAATTTGGGAAACCATTCACTTTGGAGAAAGTGAAAAGAAAAAGCATTTCAATGAGGACTAGGTTCAACTTGATGCATGTTTTGATGTGTTGTCCTGGTGTGAATCTTGACGTGCACACTAATCAATTGAAACGGAGGAGCAGACATGGGAAGCGGTGATAAAGGGTTTTCCCTTATCCTCTTTATTCTTTTCATTTTACAAAGATTGGAGTAAACTTTAATGTTATTTTTTAATATACAAAACTGTCCATAAATACCTTATTATGCAGAAACACCTAACTGCCAGAAAGTATAAGAGTGGACCTGAAAACCTATGGCTTGTACTTTTTAAGACTTTACACAAGTTGCTTCAAAGAGAACGCGCGCCAAGAATTGAAGCTATTCTTGCTAGGCACCGGAAACATGAATCTCTATCTCAAGTAATAATCATTGATGATACAGAAGATGAAGAGGACAGTGAGGTCAAGGATCAACAATCAGATGTTGCCAACAGAAAGATTGTGTTGCCACGAATTCACGATGATATTCCGAGTGAATTTTCATCTGGAGCTTCATCGATGTGGCCATGAACTGGGGGGTTCACGTGAAGTGTAGTATATGTATCGAACTGGTTATGATTTTATATGTAACTACTTTTAGCCAATCTAAGAACGTTCATAACCTTTTTTTTTTGCCTATTTTGATATTTTTTGAATGCGTTTTAACTGGATGGTTGTGAATTTTAGTCTACTATTTTCTATTGTACACTATCTGTATTATCTTCTTAAGTTGGCTAAAAATACTCAGAGAGGGGCTGGTTATGTACTCTCTGTATTGTACTTTTAATGTACGTTTTAACAGTGTACTTTTAAACTATGTAATTTAAGTTGAACGTACCTTTCTGTGTGCTTTTACAATCTGAGTTATTCAAGGTACTTTTTTATTTAGGGAGTTATATCAGTTGAATGCATGACAGGTTTGCATGACACGTATTGTGCTTTGACAGGTTTGGTTTCTGTAATTTAACCAAAAATACTTGAAGAGGTTGAATGCATGACTGAGTATATATCCTAATCAAGAATAACCAAATACACTTCTGCTTAAAATCTAAGACATAGTAATGTTGGATTGGATTAAAACCTCACTACCCTTTGTGATTTACTGATGTCACACACATAGACATCATACACTGAAAATATAAGGCCTGAGAAAATGAAGTGTTGGTACCGTTAGAGGAATTTCAGTTGATCAGTATGCAATTAATTATACATCAGATTCATCAAAGTGTCTAACTATACAAAACAATGGTATGAGTAAATACATCACTCCAATTGATTGTAACTGGTTCTAAAGTTGGCTGTTTAATCTCACATTTTAAAAGGGGGTCCCTTTTTATTATTTCTTATTGAGGAACAACAATGTTTATTTATCAGGCAAGTTTAGAATCAGTTTTAAGCAGCAATCTTAAACTACTTAATTTAAAACTTTATTTGCTTCATTTTAATTTCTCTTATGCGACCACTTCTCATTTATCATATTTTACAGTTCATGAAAAATTATTTTTCACTTAAATCTGCCAAATGTTATTAAAGAAAACAAAAATTCCAGATTGCAATATCATACATTAATACAAAATGCAAATTGTTAATAACATATTGTTGGAGTACAAAATACAAGATGTTCTTGATGCACAAACAGGAGAATTACATATGAATACAAATAAGTACTACTACCTCCGTCCCACTAAGATTGGGACGGAAAAAGGTGGCACGATTATTAAGAAAATTGGGTTTGTGTGGTTGATATTAAATTGATAAAGTAAGAATAAAGTAAAAATGATTTAGAGCCACACAATCTTTAGTCTTTACCAAATTTGGTATGGGACAATCTTAGTGGGACTTCCCGAAAAGGTAAAATGGAAAAATGTTAGCGGGATGGAGGGAGTAATACATTGGAACACCAATTCTGCCAATTGTTATTGATGCGCAAATTCCATCCCTCAATTTGTTCATAGCATCATCACCATGATGTGTTTGCACATCATCATAGTCGTCTGTTTCTTCATCGTTACCTGCTTGATCATCCTTTTGCTCCGCTTCAAGAAAATCATCATCCATTCGGTCATTCTTTCGAATAAAATTGTGAATAGCCATGGTTGCGGGTACAAGGGAAATTTGATCAGTCCGACTAATATTGACTGGCATGTAATCCATTATTTGAAATTTCGTTTTCCACACTCCAAAAGATCTTTCAATAACCGACCGCATTGATGAATGCACGTGATTAAATACTTCAAAATGGTTGTTATAAGAGGAAGACCTTTTAAAATCGGGGATGTGGTACTTTTTCTCTTTATACGGAGATAAGAATCCAATGATATCCGGATAACCTGCATCCGCTAGGCAATATTTACCTATAAATATATAGAAGTATACATTTGGGTATAAAAAAAACTAGTTAATACATATTAAAATATTGAAATACCAATAGAAGGAACTAGTTAATATATATTCACTA